AGCGCGGGTGCAGGAGCAGCCCCCGTGCTGGAGCCCTGGTGGGACGGCGAGTCCCGGGTCCAGCCTGCGTCCCGGCACACTGCGTGTCCCAGGAGCCCCGGGCACACAGCGAGCCCCGGTGCTGGTGCAGGAGCGCGGGGTGCACAGTGAGCCCCAGTGTCAGGTCTCTGGGCACGTGGCAAGTCATGATGCCAGTCCGGGGGCCCCGGGCACACAGTGAGCCCCAGAGTCGGAGCTTTGAGCACACAACAAGCCCTGATGCTGCTCCAGGAGCCCTGGGCACATAGTGAGCCCCAGTGCTGGTACAGGAGCCCTGAGCACAGAATCATCCCCAGAGCCAGAGCCTTGAGCACACAACAAGCCCTGATGCTGCCTCCAGGAGCCCTGGGCACACAGTGAGCCCCAGTGCTGGTACAGCAGCCCTGGGCACAGAATGAGCCCCAGAGTGGGAGCTTTGAGCACACAACAAGCCCTGATGCTGCCCCAGGAGCCCTGGGCACACAACAAGCCCTGATGCTGCTCCAGGAGCCCTGCGTACAGAAGCAGCCCCAGTGCCACATCCCTGAGCATGTGGCACATCCCGGGAATGCTCCAGGAGCTCTAGGTGTAGAGGGAGCCCCGGTGCCACTCCAGAAGCCCTGGGCAGGCAGCAAGTCCCACTCTGGCTGCCCAGGCCCATGGCGAGCTCAGGTGCCCATCCAGGAGCCCCAGGTGCATGGCGAGCTCCAGTGCTGCTCCACCAGCTCCAGGTGCACAGTGAGTCCTGGGGCCAGTTTGTGTCCCCAGGTGCCCAGCAACCCCCAGTGCTGGCCTGGGACACGGGTGCCTGTGGAGGCCAGCAGCACTTGGTCCTGCTGCACCACGCAAAGCGCCCTGCTCCCCATCCCGCACCCCACAGTGCAGCAGCATCCATCTGTGCAGCCAGATTTCTGTCACCAGCATGTTGTTTTGCTGCTGTTTTTTCAAAAACATCTCCCTTTTGCAACAGGAACCTTGCAGAGGAAGCTGCCGTAAGGCTGCGGTTGGGACAGCACCTCCATTTCCGACACGTTGCTCTGATTGCCCCGTCGGGTTTCGTTGGTGCCTCGGCCACAGCAGCTTCATCTGCGTGGGAGCCGGTGCGGAAGCACCTTGCAGAGCCTGGGATGGAAACAGCTCCCGGAGCAGCCCTGTGTGCATGGAGAAACTGGCTGCCCTCGGCATCCCTGGCAAGGAAATCAAGTTGATCCTGCTCAGGCCATGGGAATCGTTTACAGTGGCTGCAGTCCCGCAATCTGGGGCCTTTCACCAGGAAAAGGTGCCCCTCAGGGTGGTGGCTCCAGCACTTCCCGGCCTCCCCTCCTTGCTGGGATGTCGCGTCGCAGGATGGGGTTTTTGGCCCATGCTGCAGCTCATTTTTCTTGGCAGCTAATGGAGCCTTAAATACCCATCTGAGGCTCTGGGTGCCTCAGCCCATGGTTGTCGCTGATGGGAGATTTCTGCAATAATAGGAAAATTACTGGGCTTTTCGTCCTCCCCCTTTCCCAGCTTGGAAGCAGAATCTTGCCAGTTGGGACGCGTTGTCCACAGTTTCTTGGGAAAAGTTTGTTTTCCTCCCTCTGCTTCCATGTTTATCTGTGGGTGCCTCCTCTCTAACAAGGACCAGATGTCCTCCCCAGGGTCGCTGCCCTTGTTTTCCCCTCCGCGAAGCCTCCCAGAGTTCATTCCACCCGCAGGAAAACCAGAGGAAAACTCCTGGGCTGGCAGAAAAGCCGCGTGTGGTTCAGAGCAACCCCAAAGTTGAGGAGGGACCAGGGAAATGTCCTGGGGTGGGGAGGGCGATGGGATCTCGCTCCAGATGATTTTTGGGACAGCGTGGACACCACGGGTGCAGGACACACCAGGCCTCCTGCATGCAGACAGAGGAGCCACATTGCTGCATTTCCACCTTTTAAAATAATAATGATAAAACACCTGGCATTTACTTAGGGACCCCAGGGGTGGCTGTTTTCTTCTAGAACTTCCCTGGCCGGAAAAGCCGCTCCCGACGGCATCGCTGCGGGCGGATCCCCGAGCGCCTGCGCTCGCGGGCACCTGGGCAGGCGCCTTCCAAAACCCCGAGCGCCGCCTCCTCCCAGGCCTGCTCCGGCACGCCGCTTCCTCCTCGGGAACGGCTTGGAAAGGCACGCGGGGAAAAGCAAAAGGCCCGCGCTAGGAATCAAGGATTTTTCTGCAAAATGAGCCTGGTGGTTTCCCCAAATCCCCAGGACTGAGCACGCTGGTGCCCGCTTGTCCCTGCCGCCCAAGGCAGCTACCGTGCCTGTGGCTCCTGCATCCGTGTGATAGCTCCAAGGAGACCGGATGCTGCCAGGCTTTATTGGTTTAATTCATTTTTTATTTCATTTATTTCATTTTATTTCATCTTTCCCGGCACACAGCAATAGGAACAGGCCCTGAGCGGCTGCCGCGGCGCCCCCGGCCGCCCCCCCCGCCCCTCCGCCCCCC